AGGAGTCTGGAAATTTGGTGTCACCCTGGGAACAGGGATGTGCCTTTTACATACAAATTTGACAAAGTGCAAAGGCTTTGAATACGTCCCACTGAAGATTTATTAGCCTTTGGGAGAAAAACCTCTACAGATTCTGTCTGCCTTGATCTCGCTCCATTTTGGGGCTTCTAGGGCTTGCTTCTTCTGGGGATTGCTCAGGACTTTCCTTGCTATAATTCCCTTCCTGGCTGCTGGACATGACTGTGGCTCCAGGCATCAGAAGAGAGAGCTAAAAAACCATCCCTGTCATCTCAGGCCCTGCCTGGACTCCCACCAAGTCCCTCACTGCCCAAATCAAACAAAGAGGAAAGCAACAGAACTCCAAAGCAGCAGCAATGGGGCAAGGGCCAGGGAGAAGCCAGGAACAAACACCTGAGGGGAGAGATGGATCCCATAGGGATGCTTGATATGACATCAGGGAATTGGGATGAGGCAGAAAAATGAGGAAGGATAGTCTGGCAAAGATATATAATAAAAGCATGGATAAAACATAAGCACAAAGAAGGTGATAAAGGCCACAGATAAGGCCTTAATTCTCATGTTTCAAGGCTTCTGAACTTCAGCTTTAATTTCTCATGTAAAACATCTTGTGCCTGTTATCATTTCTAGATTACCCCAAGCACTCTACCAAACAGACCAGGAAACCAAAAATCAGCAAAGCATCTCACTGCTCCACCAAACACCCACTGAAACAGCTGACAGGCTAAAAAGAATGGCAGGAAGATGTAATGAGGGCAGAGATAGTCAGATTAGAAAACACCATAATTTTGAGTATGCTGATGGTATGCATGAGGTGTAGTGAACTGCAGCAGTAAATCAAAGTCTGCTCTTGAAAGTCTCACACAGCTGCTATCCAGAGACCCTCTGGCTGGAAATCATTTCCCCACAAAATCATGGGTATAACATAAATATTCATGTGATTTTAACTATAAAATGTCTAGGAAGTTTTTAACCCTTAAGAATCACTGTTCCTTGCAACCTTGAGCAGCAGAATTTCTAACTTTCTGTTGCTGAAATCTCTACTTGCCCACTGCATTACACACCTCAGAGGCTGAGACTTTCAGAAAAGAAATCCCAGTTGGAGAAATTCCTGCTGAAGTCATGGGCATCGCTGACATTTTGTAATGTGTCAGTACCCATTCTTAAGCATGCAGTGGGGCTGGGAGGATAAATATGTTCAGGATATGATAGGACACATTTGGAGAGGACAGCTCAACCTGCAGCCAGTAAATACTGAAGTCTAAGCACAAATTGCATCATGTGCAATTGCTGAAGGATGCTGGAGGACTATTATTGTCAGCTGGGTCTGGCACCTCTCCATCAGGGCAGTTTTTCTACTCAGCAGAGAGGCCGCCCGCAGCTGAGCTCTTTGTCACAGCCTGGACCTGGGATGACCAACCCTTGGCTCTTGGGAATCACAATTTGGTGCCATCACCAAGGGTCATGCAAAGACTCTCCTGCCTGCAAGGGAGGAGCAGCCACTGCCTTCCCTGAAATAGTCCCACCTTGGCTGCTCTGGTTTGGGGATGTATTTGACACAACCCCCATGCTCCCTGCAGCGTCACCCAGCACAGATAGAGCCTCCGAGAATTTGGCTGCAAATCAATGCACCTCCCCTACCACTACAATAAAGCTTGTGACTGCAGGAAAAACAGCATGAGGGCCAGAAAACTCCTTACACATCAGAAAATTAAAACCCACTGTCTAGACAAGAGATCAGGAATTATCTTAAATTTCAAGAAGTGATAATTGACCAAGCGGAAGGGGAAACAAAAAAGAGAAAGCCTTCACTGAAAAAAGGGAGGATTCTTTTTGGGTACATCATACCAATTAAGGGGAAACTACATGAATTCCCTGCCAGTGCTGTTAAAGAATTACTGCAGCAAGTTTTGTTCCTAGCTCTGCCTAGTTCTTCCCTATCATGAAAGGCCCATGTGTTATATTGTGTATGGTCCTTGTGCCAAAACTTCTCAAAGGAGACAGGTTTGTAACTGCACAGGACACCTGTTTTGTGTCTGCAGGCAGGAGCCACAAATGAACACATGATTGAAGGGAACTGCAAATCTTAAAATATGACAGGCATCAAAATGTTATTGCATCCTCTCAACAGCTTCAGAAAACTGTTTTTCACTAACCTTATCAAACCAGGGATGACAGTGGAGCCAACTTCTACTGAATAATCACAGAAAAACAACTACACCACAGACTTTCCAACAGAACAGACTGAGTAGCTTTGTGGGGGAAAACTAGCACAGTGCAGAATACTCAAACACATTATGGATAAGGTTTGACATCTAAATCTGCAGCTACTCCAGAAATACAAAGATATACCTTTAGCAATACACTCTAGTTCAGTCTATCCCACTTATCTCAAGAACACTTTAAGATGATCTGCATTCTACACAAAAGCAGGCATGACAGCAAACTTGGCATTACAAAGCACTTCTGTTCCTGTTTTGGATGATCACATCTCATTCTTGAATGGGACCTTTACACATCTCTCAGATGCAGAGAGATTCTACATAGCTGTTGGTGTGTGGGTTTAGCTGTGAGAAGTGACTGGCTTTAAATCTTATCAAATTATTTCAATTGCATTAATTAAGCAGCTTCCTTATATCCCCAAAGAACTCCAACTAACCATGCAGCTCTAGGAATACTGGATTTCCATCTTTAGAGATGCTGGGGTGAACCTTTCCACTCATACTGAATTCACCATGAAATAAAAAAGCTCTCTCTCCTAAAGTACAAATTAGGCTACTGTAAATAAGGCTTGGGCTAGATCTCACACTGCACAGGGCTCTGCACAGTAACTCACATCTTCAGCTTACACAGTGAGTGTATAAAAACAGCTGTGCCATTTTTCCATGTCCTTCCACTCAGCCACGTGCTTTTGAAATGGTTCCATTTCTTTATATGCCTGAATATGCTTTCTCCTGTTTCTCTGTTGCACCAAATAAAACATACCTCTAAACTAAAAAAACCTAATCCCAAAACAAGTGACTCTTGCACGAACATAAGAGCACATTCTACCATATTCCTTTTATTTTCCCCATTTATTGACCTCTGTTTTGTGCCTACCCAGTTGACTGAAGGGTGTGTTAACATGCACAGCATGGCAGTGTAATTCCACCAGTTGGGATTTAGAAGTGGTTTTGCATATGAGACCAGGAATTGCTCGCCTTGCAAGCTATGGGGATGACATGCCTCTCATTATGACAGGGTGAGAGACAACCTGCTCTGTCCCCAGCTCCAGGCACATTCCCTTCCTTCTGCCAGGGGCTGGGGTTTCTTTCACAGGTGCCAAATGGCAATTTGGGGTGGTTCACCTGATGTTTCCAAGTCTAGCTGTGGTTGTCATGACCCTGTGAAGAGCAGCTCTGCCAAAAGGCAGAGGGACAGGATTTATTAAATATCTAACAGATAAGAACTCCCAGAAATGGCACATGAACCACAGCCAGGTCTGCTTCAGCAAGGCAAGGCAGAAAGTTATGTCACTGCAAAATGTCCTTACAAAGGTGTCGCTTTGGCAAGATGAGGTCCTGCAGAGTGGTTGCTCTCCTGGCACTACAGCCCCACAGAGACTATTAAAACTGAAAAGTAATTCATAAAAATATGCAAGTCCTAGAGAAAACCTCTCCTTCCTTTCAAGGGACCCCTGTGTGAGATTTGGGATACCCCCACTTCACACCCAGCACTGTGTTTTCAGGCACAGAAAGGGGCTGCAGGAGGGACCATCCCACAGCATCCTGAGCCAGCTGCAGGTGCAGAACTGGCTCAACTCAGAAGCGGGGTCAGAGTGCAGAGCAAAGTGCTGGCTTGGTGTCTTCACAAGATTTGTTTTAAAGGTCTGCAGTTCTTCACACCTCAATTCAGCCAGGCAGGCAGCAATGCCAAAAGATGGCTGTACAACCATCTTGGCTGCTGTATGGAGGAACTGGAACTAACACAGCACAGGATAGCAAAGTGCCCCAGAATCCTACAGGTAAAGGGTGAGAGATGGAGGTGACAACCCAGAAATGGTTTTTTTTTTTTGCCATCTCACAAACCTCAAGTCTAACTTAAAACCATAGTCAAAAGACTAATGATAAAGAAAAAGCCTCTGCCAAAAAAATTCAGGCAGGACATTCCTGCCAGAATATATGTTAAAGAAAGACACACAATTATTTTTTAGAGTTGCTGGCACAGTGCTTTCAGGAAACCTTTCCCTTTAAACACTAAAATTAAACAAACACATGAAACGCAGGGAGAAATGTAATTACTTTATAGCTTGACTTTGGTCTATTGCCTCGGGTATCCAGTTCCTTTACTTAGTGATGTGGAAACTCAAATTCCCCCCTAACAGTGTCATTAATTCCTTGGCCTGGAGAGCCCAGCTTTCCTGCTGCATTTTGCATCAGGAAATCCCAGCTGCCCGCACCTTGCTCTGAAAACGGCTCCACAGGTGACAAAGGAGCTCCTGCCCTGCTCCCAGCACAGGAAGGGGGCAGGAGGGCTCCCCTATCCCCTATGAAAAGGAGGGGATTAAAACAACTGAGTTGCCAAAAAAACGAGTAGAGACCCAGGCGAAGATCTAGCTCCTCTGACCTCCAGCCCTCCCAAAACTCCCCTCTCCTGCCAAAAAAAATGACAAGGAGTGTCTATTTCTGCTTGCCTTTCTCCTAAGAAAAACACCTCCCCCTCTCCCTCCTCATGTCCCCCCGTGGCTCTTCCTCCCGCACACAGTTGGGGCTGGCTAAGGTTCATGTTAAATGAACACCCAGTCCTAAAACACACCCGGGATGGCATCCAAAGGCTACCAGAGGCTGTCAAGAGACTCCCACTGGTGTGGGCGAGTTCATGTGCCCCCCACTGACCACCCGCCCTCAGGCCAAGAGCAGCTGTAATGCTCTGGAGAGAAAACAAACAGGTCTGGGGGAGCACAGGGAGCCCCGTGGGAGCAGAAGCATCTCCCCCGTGCTTACCTTCCCCCTGCCTTGCCTTGTTGGATGCTGAGGAAATCCTAGCTCCTTCCCCGTGCCCAGGCAGCTGCTCCTGAAAAAGGTTTTCTTGGGCACTGCACAGAACATCCCAGCTCTTTTCAGACTGAAATCTTTTGAGGTCGGTCCTGGAAGCAGCCCTGTAGCTGCCTGCCCTTTGCAAGCTGTCATGCAGTTTAGCAGGAGCCCAGCCGGACTGTGTGAGTTTATATCCACCCCTGTGACACACACACACGCAGAATGTGCCTGGCATCTGAAGCAGCCCATGCTGGATTTATCCCTTCCCTTGTTGCCAGTGACTGACATAAGTGCCGGGAACTCTTGGTGGAAAACTGCTTATGAGCTTTGGGCTTGATCCAAACCCCACTGAAGACAAAGACTTGTGATTGCTTTGGTGCTGGCTTTGGATCAGTCCCATTATCTCTGCCCTGAGAGCAGTGTACAAACAAAGCAGCGAGGACTGGGGCACTGTAAGCCTGTGCCCAGGGGCCCATCTCATCTGAGGAAGAGAGAGGCAGGGAGATGCATCTGAGCCTTCCTTAGAACATCCATGCAATGCCCTCCTGGGAGGGGACTAGCCTTGGGAACTGCACATGGTCACAGCCCTCACTCGTGGGTGGACATGCCCTGCTTGGGAGCAGACACAGATTTCTCTGCTCAGGATTGGTGTCAGCCATGCAAAACATCCAGAGCCAGACCTACATTCAGACTTCAATTGTGCAAATCATCCACCTCACAGGCTGAGTCTGCTTTTATCTGTCAAACACCATCAGTTTGCACACTCCAACACTAGACGCATTCGTGTGTCTCACAGGACACAAGTGTCCCCATGAGCTCTTCCCATTCCACAAGGGACTGAAAGAGTAGCACTCTCAGACTCACTCCCACCTAAAAATCCACAAAAACATTTGTTTTGTGAACAATTAAGCAGCAATTAGCATTCTTCCTGAGTAAGAGGCTGCCTGCAGAACTGAAAAATTATTTGATGCTGTTTCATTCCACTTCTCCTGGCAGCACTTTCTCCTAATTTACTAAAAGAAAAAAAAAAAAAAAAAAAAACAAAAAACGAAAAAATAAATTGTTAAGTCATACTTTTCTATATTAAGGCATCTGTTGTAAGGCTTTTTTTCCCACTGGGAAAATAAATGAAAACCATGAATCACCAAATTTACCTAAGAAAAGTGCAAAACAATTCTCTGTCCTGGGATTATAGAGTTGATGGCTCATGACCATTTCTCATAGAGTTTAGGCTACACAACTTCTGTAGCATAAACTGATTTCCATCGGAGGTAAAGGGGTTTTTAACCATCACCGTTCCACTTGTGCCAGTCCTTAGTGTGGATACAGTTACACTATACTATGACAGCTCTCCTTGGGAAACTGGCAAACATCTTCCTTGAGCCTTGTTTAAAAACACATTTGAATTCCTGCATTTTAACAGACTACCATGTGTCAATGGAATGACAATAAACAGCAGTGTGGGTGTCCTTCAAAGGAGAGGAGCAAGAGCCAAAATGAGTTGCCCTTGGCTCTTTGTACAGAGGCTGGGCTGTGATCTGGCTTGTGTCTGAGGTGGGCTCAGACCCTGCAGCAATTACCTGGCTCAGCAGTGGGTGGGAAGGTGTGACAATGCACTGCCCTGCCATAGAGCTCAGCCCAAACAGTGCTAGCTGTGCTCAGATACCCTAACAGGGTAACTGGGGAGCAGAGTAGCCCTGACAAGTTTCAAAGTCTGTTGACATTTTTGTGATGCCAAACTCTGAAAATCACAGCTGGTGTTGAGGGTCAGGTAACCCTGGGCTTGAAACACACAACACTAAGTTATTTTTCAATCCTGGCTTGAACTATAGCTTTGCAAAAGCCTGAGTCTCTAGGATTTCCCACCCTTCATCCAAAGAAGTGGAGAGAGAGAGTGAGGATTTAAAGGGAAATAAGTTAAACCTCATAGCATGCAAAATGAATTCCCTAACCAGAAGGGTCTTGCCACATCCTCGGAATGGTGTCACGGCTTGAAAACATGCCTTGTTTCTAAGCTCATTTATTTGCTAGGAAAACTCAGCCACTAGTATGTCTTAAAGAAATCCCTAGAAAGGCATCTGCAAACAGTTGCAGTGAAATTTCAATTGCTGAGTGTAATTCACGGCAGAGCGAAACCCTGGAATCTCGGAGAGTGCAGGGCACAAATAGCTCAAGGAGGTGTTTGGTACGAAGGAAATGGTGATGCTTCTTTCATTTCCCATGAATATCATATGCACTGCTTCAGCCATATGTTGTGTTGAATCTGCCACATTCTTCAGTGGTGGGCACAGATGTGGACAGATCTGACAGATCAGGGTCTTAGGGTCACACAGGAGTAAATTGGGGGCAGATGATTTGAGCGTCACAGCTTATTTTTAGAAAAAAAAAAGGGGGGAAAAGATTGCTAAGAATCATTTCTACCATGTGTCTGAACAAGAAACGCATTTATCTCACCTAGTAAAAACAAAGAAGAGTTTCTCTCAAATAAGGAGTTTGTTTTAAGAGGCTAACAAAGATTGTTCTATGCACTCTATAGATCACAGGTGCTGCAGAGAAACGCAGACTTTGCCATGTATTTCCGTGCTTCATTAACGTGTATTATTTTCAGACAGTCTCCAACAGTGCTCCAGCTTTACAGGCACAGAAGTGACTCCTTTGACAAATAAGCAGAGTTTCTTCTCAGTTGCCTGGCTTACACTATTCTCTGGTTATTCCTCCGATTAGTGCTATTTTGCTTACATGTGCACTGTGGGTGATAAAAGACATCAAGGAAATGGAAAACACTTTCCCAAGAATATAACCACTGCTAGGAGATGGAACAGAAAACAAGGAAAAAGGAAATCAATGCTTATTTAAGCCCTATAGGCCACCAAAATACAGCAAAAATGTAACAGATTCCTTCATGTCTATTATTTATGCTCATAAGAGCGTATTACACACACATTTCTGCCTCCTGCTGTACAAAGTTTAAAAGCAGAGAGTGAGGATGAGGTAACATTTATTCATGAGTTCCACAAACTGCACTTGCCCAACATTTACTTGTACGAGGTGAGGCTCTGTAAAGCTAAGGCAGAACTCAAACCCAAACTGCATTTGCCAAAGGACAAGAAGAATGTTTCACGATGCTGCCTGCCACAGGATAGGCTTTTCAAAGGCTGCTTTGAGAAGGAAACCAGAACAGAATGCTGATTGTGCTAGAATGGTGAGGACAAGGTGCTGATGGCAAGAGTGTCCCAGCCAACCCAGTCACCTAAGTTTTTGTGTTATGGCCATGCCCAGTCACTTGCAGTGGATTTTTCCGGGCCATCAGCTCAAATTACTAATAGCCAGCATGGGACATTTTAGTTGTATCAAGTAGACATTTACCCTGCTATGAACAAACCAACCCAGGCCCCAGGCACGCTGGAAATTGCTCAAAGAACAATGTCACCCCTTTGCTACCAAAGTCCCAAGCCTGAGCAGGAATGGGGTGAAGCCAATCTGAAAGCAGAGCTGGAGCTTTTCCATCTCCTCTTACAAGTCACTGAGGAGTTGTAGGTGCAATCAGTCTTTTTTTTTTTTTTTTCTGTTTTCCCCTGTCTGTTTGGCTATGAATAAATGGTCTGGATTGATAAAGCCTAAACTCTACTGATTTTCCTGCACCTTGAGGTTTCACATGGGCTGCTTCTGGTTCTTCAGAGGGGTCACACCAGCTGGCAGAAGGATTCAGACGGGATTTAAGCTGTGTGAGGCTGGGCCAAAACTGTGTTAAATGTAGCTCAGTGATTAAATTGTTGGAATAGGGATCAGAAAGCCCAGTGTGTTAGGTAAATATGGACATTTCAGCCCAGCCATCCAAGCTCTGAGCAGGGATCATGCCACTTAAATCCTTTTGCCAGCCAAGATTCACAGTGCTGAGAAGATGATGGGAAGGTGGAAAAGGTAGTATTTTGCTGGCCTGATGCTTTGGGGTCTTCATGAGCACACCAGAGCTGTGTTTTGCTCAAATACCTGGCTTTGAGCACTGGAGCCCAGACAGGAGTGCTAGAAGAAAACAGAAGCCAGACAGAAGATGGGATGCTACAAGAATTGAAGACACTTCAAGCTAGCTTTTCTTTTCAGTGGGATTTGCTTTTAGCTGGGTCAGCTTCCTGACCTGGATAACAGAAGATTCCATATAAAAGGCAGAGGACCCAGAGTGAGAAAAGAACCCCACCATTTTCATAGGCAATATGAGTTTATTTCAGATGAACCCAGCCATTTTACTTGAATGTCCCTATAACCTGGTGGTTCAGAACAATTCCAATTAGGCAAACAAATAACCAACCATTTCCCTCCTGAGAGATGTTTACCCCATGCAGGGAGGGCAGAGACCAGGAGAGAAGCCCATGAATCCCTACCACCCTACCATGCCTCTCAGGGCAGAGCCACTTCCTAGGAGCCAGAACGTCAAACCAAGCTAAGATTTTGGAGGAAGTTTGTTCTTTGTTGCTGGTTTTTCTCCCTGACTGCTGGTTTCCATCACTTCTATGTTCAGTTGCTTTGTGGCTTATCAAATAAGCAAAGGTCCCCTAGAAACTCCTGTATCAATTTTTTCCCCTCCACTTGGAAAACAGGCTATCAGCCTCTAAATGCATCCCCTGCTGGCAGAGGAGAGAGGTAATATTTTATACAGCCTCACCTCCCCCATATGGTCTTACCTGGTCACTTCTGGAAATGTGCAAACAGAGCTGCAAAAAATACAGTATTTTGCAAGATTTTCTGGTTCATCCCTCTGAATGCAGGCAAACAGCACGTGACAGATACCTTGACAGATCTGCTTTCAGAATCCTCCTATGATAATAGAAGCCATAGTTCCACTCACCTTCCCAACAGAAAGGTTTTCTCCCCAGACTCTCCAGTTACGATCCAAGCTGCCCATCCCCTCTGCTGCACTCCAGAGAGCAAGATTTCCTTTCCCAGTGGGATAACCAGCTACCTATGTGCTGTTTTCTTTCAAGATAGTAAGAGAGGAATAAAGAAGTAGGTGGGAAAGGGGAGAAGAGAAATATAAACCATGACAGGACAGAACCACAGGACTTCTTTATGGGGGACAACCAAGTGCCTTTCTCCTACAGATGACACCATCCAAAGGCTGTACTGGCACTCTTAACAGGTGAGGGTGGAAGAAAGGGTAGTTCATCTCCCAACTCTGCCACAAGCTTGCTTACAGGTCTTGAGAATAACTGTCCATACTTCAAAATGCTTCAGTTTGGGTCAATCTGCTGTTTAAAGAGAAAAAAATCTGCTTCACAGGATTGTACAAAGCTTAAACGAGCATTTGAAGAGCTCTAGTAGAAATGAGATGAAGGGCACTCTCAGAGAGACAAAGCATTATCATC